CGCAACGGCCAGAATCACTGCACATTATGCTTCAGGGTCGTGATTGTAATTTGCGCGTGCCGGGCGAATGCATAATAATAATCTTCTAATTAACGCATGGACGATTATTCGCGGTTTTGTCCGAAGAATTCCTGCTTGACTTTCGTTCTCCCGAGGAATAAATCGTTTCCATTGGGACAATACTTTCCGGCTCGAAAATTCCATTATTTTCGAATTGTCCCTCTCTTTTATGCCTCGATAGCGAGTCCAATAAATCGTGTACGTTTGTTTCGATATCGAAATTAAAACCGTGGAACAAAGAATATTCGAATTCTCGTTCTCTCGCGCGGGGACCGTTCACTTTTCGACCGTCCTTCGCGGCACGCCTCGGATAATAATTTAACGACCAGCCGCCAACTTAATCCTAGTTAGAAGTTGCATTATAATCACTATAACCACCGGGCAGGAATTAGGGCTGTCACTGCAAAAACTAATAGCGGATTAAGTTTTAGGGGAGACGCGGTTAAAGGGATTAAAAGCGTAAGCTGGAAATTTACATTGCGCCATTGTCTTGGGATCCAGCGTCCCAGTCTTTCGCCAATTGTTTAATCGTTGATCGATCACGATTAATTAAATGACAACAATAGAAATTACAAACGGTACTTCTAGATATCCTCAATCGTTAAAGAATCGGCGCACTCTCTTTCTAGGATCCTTTAAACTCAAATCCTTCAACTGAAAACAATACAGTGAACATTGAATAATTGCAACATCATCATCCCCATATCCTTACCAGGTTCCTTTTAATACACCATAGCGCTCGACGGCCGATTAAAGAATGTAACATGATCCAATTATTCCAACTCGACGATTTCAACGTTTATTTCTTTCTTATTCGCAGTCCTTTTCTATATCCGAAACTTCAATCGCTTATTATAGAAATTATATAATTCTATCGCGTTTGGTGTCATTTTAATCAGGAAAACATAACAGTCATGACGGTGAAAGTTTCATTCATACAAAAATAAAAAAGTTTGATTTTCGAGTTAAAGGTCTCAAGCTCATCGCGAACCTTCTACATTTCCGATCTCCCCGACATTCAATCTTTCCTCTCCCTTTACTCGCGTTGTCCTTTTCTACATCCATCATACTAAAATTTTCGTTTCTCGGGGTGAATTCAATTCTACCTCTTCATAATTGCAACCTCCGGTCCCGTCGAGTATTACAATTATCCAATATTCACTGTACTCGTTGCATTCATGCGCGACCAGTTGCAAAAAATCACCTACCGCCTTCCTGAACAGGTGCCTTCCGCTCTTCCGAAAATTAACAAGTTGAATGCCGCACGATTTCACAGAGCAAAATACCCAAATCGAAAAAATATAATATTAAATCATTTGACTGAATTGCATTATTATTATTGCATGTCCATCTAGCTGAATGTCACCGTATTAGGCAGCATTACTTATAATATAAAAATCTTTTCATATAATCAACGTTTAATTGAATGAACTATAGTAATCCGATTCAGTTGGGGGTCACCGATGACCCCCATGACATTCAACGTGTTAAAGAACCCTTCCGCGACAGCATACACGTCCACCTGTCCGAACCGTCAGAACATCGAATTTCGTACTCGCGATTCCTGCTCGCGTCCACCGGAAAACGCGCGGCAAATGGTTCGTCTTCGGTTCGTCGCTGGAATAGTCACGAGCGAATGATCAACGCACCCATTTCAGTCGTGGCAGAAACACCTTAAGAACACCGAGTGCCTGACGATTACTCTTGGGCGGACCGGAGGCGCGTGCGAGACGGCACAGCGTCGGTCCCGCGACGAGAAGGAAACAGGAAGAAGAGGAAATAACAGCGGGCACAAGGACGACACCCGCCGCAGACGAGGCGGAACGTTAGACGAAGACGGTGGGTGGGTGATGGAGGTGGTGGCTGAGGGGGCAACGAGGCCGGGGAGGTTGAAATAAAAGAAACAGGTGGGAAAGGCCAGCGGGATGAAGCAAGTGAGAAAATAGTAAAAGCGAGATAGGAAGGGAGCGCAGCAGCGCGACCAGAATTGGATAGGATAGGAGAACTGGTGATTACAGAGGCCGGGAATTCCGTGGGGAGAGGCACCGGTCCCGCGGGTTTCCACCTAATTCCATCCTGGCTGACTACTGACTCTGTCTCCCTCTTTTCATCTTTCTCTCTCCGTCCCGTTTCTCTCCATCTACCGCGGCGGCAGCCACTCTACACGGGCTCCTCTCGCTATTTCCCTTCGCGAGCCTTTCACTCTCTGGCCCTCTATCCCTTCCAGTCGTCCCTTTCGCTCCCCTATCGTTCCTTCCGCTTCCTCCCCCCACGCAATCCGTTTTATCGACAGTGAGAGAAATAACTGTATAAATTTCGCATGCCACGCTCGCGTCGAGCTTCGTTTATCGGGGAATCTTAATCGGCTCGCGAGTCTTTTCCGCGGAAAGTGGGAACTGGCAGCAATGTACGGACGCGGGTAAAGATGACGGTACTCGATAGGACGGGTAATGACAAATTTTCGGGTGTACTCTTGTCGAACGGTAGACTGTTTGCAGTCTAAACTTCGATTGCTCCTTTGGAATTGCAGGTTTGGCACTAATCACCGACCACCTTGGTGGCTAGGCTGAGGATCATCAATTCATGACTATGCTGATCGAATTCGTCAATTTTTAGCTTATCGTCATGACTCTTTAATTCGAGATCATTTGGTTATATTAATTTCTTGTTCGTCGATAGAGCTATAAGTAACCAACCAAAACTATAGACAAAAACGCTAGAAATCGAGTCATCCCCTAATAGCACGTTGCTATCTCCATTGCCCCCAATCATCTGGATCTATTATCTTCTTCTTGCTTCCACGAACTGTTCCCCTGTCTCCCTCGTTACCCGGATTATCCCGAAACACGCATTTTCGGATCATCGCCTCTGGGAAGCAAACCAGCGCCTACACCCTCGCCACCCTATTCCAGCGCAACGGTGTCACCTTTTTCTTCCTTGCGATCCCACCCTTGTGCTGCTGTTTTTTACATGGACACCTGTGTACCCCTCGCAGCGACCAATCGAACGAGAAGCTTTAAATATTCCGAAGGGCGGGGGTGAAACGCGATTTATGCATCGCCGGTTAGTCGGCTGAGACACCACGTGGTGCCTTCTTAGGGAGGGTGCGTTCGAGTCGTTACTTTTTAACACGTTCCGTGCCACGGAAATTTCGGTTATGTTTTGCTTACTAATTGTATTGATTCTTTTAAATAAAATATTAAGTTGTATTCAAGTTTCTGGTAATTTTTATACATTTCGATATTGTTTCTTTACGTTCTCGCTGCTTTGCAACGTATACCGCTGCTCTTGACCATGTGTCCCTTAGTAATACTTTCTTACAGAAATTGGCGTGTACCATATATGGTACATGTGGCACGGAACATGTTAACAGAAGTCTGGGCTTTTCAAACTGGAAAATATTTATAAGGGAACCATATTTGTTAAAACATTTTGCTGAATACTTCACTATCTGTGGCGCACCTCGGCGTAGGAACATTTTGTGCAACAATTTTATTTATTGCCCGAGATTTTTGGGAGCATTGTAGAAACATAGTAATCATTACTTAAATATTATTATTAACTCTTTGAAGGCGAATGCCGTTGTATCAAGGACATCAGGCTTCCATATTTAGAATCAAAGTTAGAAACGAGTTATTTAAATAGAATAACAGATGAGCAAATAGTTTTCCTTTTTCTATTATTTACTAGTTCGATATATAATGCAGCTCTCTGTGAAAGCAGTGTTTGTTACTCTACAAAATCTTCATCAACAGAAGGTTGTCATTTAGTTGAAATAAATATACATCTGCAATGACTGGTAAATCTGTACTTATAATTAATTATTAACACTAGATCTACCGAGCATTTAATACGATCGACATGTAATCTTTATGAAGCCTTTAATTTATCAATAATCGTGAAACAAACAAACCGAAACCAGTCGTTTGAACTGTTTCACTAGTTCTAGTGTGAAAAACAGTAATTTCAATAAATCACGAGACAAAGGGTTGAATAAAACTAAATTCGTATCCCTTCGCAGCGACATCTTTCGCAGTGGATCGAGCGCACCACGTGACCCGTGATTTGCATTGAACTTTCAATTCGTTTACAAACAACATCATCGTCTTATTCCTCCAGAAAAGTTGTATTTCGTTTTTGAAAACAACGTTTTCCACGATACACTTTTTAGTAACATGGATCTCAAGGACCCGATAAGGACATTCGAGTAGCACGTGCCGCAGCGGCCGTGTGTAGCGATGAATTCATAAACACTAGCGTGTAAAGCAAACACACGGCAGCTGCGTGACGCGAAAGAATTTTGGACGTGACACGTCGTAATAAATCGCGCCACTGATTCTCGGATCAGACATAATTCGCTAACAGCCAGTGGTCCTATTTCGATGACGCGATCATTTTGATTGTCTGTCATCGAAATACAACACTCGGTCGACCGTCTAACTGCGCGCCAAAACGAAACGCCAAGATAGTTTGTATCACCAATATTGTTGCTTTACTATATTTTCAATATATTATTAAAATCTCTTTCTTACATTTATATGAGAATTTTTAGCCAAAATAGAAAGTGCAAATAACAAATATTATAAACCACTAGCAATTAATATATGCTAACCTAAATATAACAGACTTACAGCGATACCTACATTGTTAACTCGTGACTTAATACTTAACACGTTGAGTGCGCACGGTTTCATAGAGCGAAATACACAAAATGGAAAGAATATAATATTGAATTATTCATCTAGTTCAATGTCACCGCGCTAAGTAGCATTATTTATGATATAGCAATGTTTTCAGATAATCGTTTAATCAAGCGAGCTATAGTAATTCAATTTGGTTGGGTCACCGGTGACCCGCGTGACACTGAATGTGTTAATGGTAGTAGAGGTTAACTAACGCGAAGGTTATGTGAAAAAGTGAAGGAAAGAATGGTTACTCACGTTTGAGGGATCGTGGCTTCGCTTGTTTCCTTCTGGACATAGCAGCGTGGCGTGTGTCACTCCGCCAGGCTGAATCGCCTATGACAGCTCAGCAAGAACGTGGATCCAGTCACATTTCGCACTTCCCTCGGAAACTCGATACGTTTCGCGCACTGAAAACAACGTTCGTCGCGAAAACCGCACCGTCGACAGAAATCTCGCGGCCGTTTCGTTTCACGGGAGACGCGGCTGTTAACGAAACCGTCGCGGGAACATGGTCGCGGCGAACGACATCGCGCGAATTCGAACAAGGGAGAAGTATCCGGTTACCCGCGCGGCGTTACCATAGCGACAGGAAGTAACATCTTGTATGCGTCAAGTTGCACAGCCGAGCAGCCAATCTGCTCTGAAGACTGTGTTTACCACGCCGGACGCCACATCGATCACAGATATATCTGAGAATAAACGTTCTGTTCAAACCGCGTTCATAATCGGCCACTTAAGGTACCACATGTACCGAAATCTAATTTACTGACCCGCGTAATTTAGAGGGCAAGGAAAATCAGCCGAGTGATTAATGTGTTTCGATGTTGGAACGATTATTCCTGTACCGGAAACCACGTGGTCCCAATTCAAACTCGCGTGCGTACACGGCTGAACGTGTCGCAACAGATAGAGACCAACAATAAGCGCGGCTCGAAAGTCGCGCAACGAATGACTGCGTAGTTGATACCGCGGAGAAACTGATGCAGAGAACCACTGAGAGGGCACTGCGCACGCGTTACCCTTGCTGATAGCGGCCTTGCGCAATCCCTTCGCTACGGATGAAATTTTCTAATCTCTAGCATTAACCCTTGGACAGGCGACCTCCTAACATTCACGTCGGTTCACTTCCAGATCTGCGTGAACATTTTTGCAAGATTGTATTTTATTATATGTTGTTGACAGATTTTTCTTAATGATATGACCATGTTGTTAACGAATGACATTATGTTTTAATAAATTAGATTGTGCAGTTCTGTCATCAAATTTTAGCTTACATTTGTATTATTACTTTCAAGTTTTTAGCAATGAATTTTAGTATTGATGAAAAATTAAGTAGTGAGGAAGACATTAATTTCTGTTCTGTCAGTGTAATATTATATAAATGTTTAAGTAGTAATTATTCTGGCTTTAACTTAATGCATTATTATTAAATGTAATATTATAAATAAAATGAACTATATGCGCAAGTAAAGCATTCAAACATGGTAAGAAGTTATGAGCAATATAAAACTTTGATGAACATTGTATGTCTTCTTTTATGGAAAAATGTACGTTCATTAAGTTGAAAAGAAAATATATAGTAATATCTCTTTACCTTTTCTTAATAATTTGTTCAAAATGAAATTGATCTTTGTGACTTGTATGACATGTTCATTTCGTCTGAGGAATTCTACATTACCGACTTGAACGAATCGTCAGTGTTCTTATACAAAGAGATAAGTTCATTGTTGTGACAGCTCGACAGTTGGTTTTGTTTTAGTTTCAGTGAAATTAAAGCATAAACCACGCAAGAATCATTTCATTTCTTTAGTCCTTCGTTAATTTGATTTAAATTCGTAATTATCAGTACGGTATACGTATTCACTGTTACAAGCTTCAAAAAGGTTAGAATTTACGCAATTTTTTAAAAATTCTATATTTCAAAACATCTTACTTGTGACTTTCACAATTAAAGATATAATCATGCTGTTGCTGGAACGTATACCAGATCAAATTGGATACTTGGTTTTAAAGGAGGATGGAGCAGTAATAACGGTAATTATTTTGTTAATAGAATATATTAGAAAAAGGACATGATAATTAATGTTCTAAATGACACTTTATTATTCTAGTCTGGAGGCGAATTAGAAAATGATGAAAGGATCGCAAATATTATTGTAGGCTTAGTCACACTGACAAATAAAATTGATCCTAAGGGATTTCCCAGCAATGATGCCTTCGACAAGATATCCATAACATACCCAGACCATTGCTACGTTATTTGTCTTTCAAATAAAAAGATTCATGTAGTTAAAAAAAGATTGGTTTCTGCAACTACTGCAGTTGTGGAACAGCAGCCTCTCATTGATGCATAAATTAAAATTTTAAGAGATTGTATAAAGATAAAATAGTTTTGAGTCATATAAATAGAAATTATAATAAATATGTAAAAAATTCTTAAATTCAGAATATGCTCAGAATTATTAAAAACTGTAAAATAATTTTGAATATATACTATACTAATAAAACATTATTAAAGTATAAAAAGTGGTCTTTTTTCCTTACATAAATGGAATTTGTCATAATATAATAATCTGATATATTACACATGGTTAACAAAATAGTACAAATTGTATTGGTTAAACATATAATTTACAATATATTACACATTCCATTAGTTAAAAAAAAAATACTATGAATCATTGTCTGTATCAGAACTATCATAAGTAACTAGTGATGTATTTAATGTACTGGTCATTGTGCTTGATGTTGAAGGTTGTGGTTTTAACTCTGGAAGTTTTGGTGTTTCATTTTTATGTTTTTTATCACTGTTCACAACAGATTGCGATACTTTTTTTAACTTATCTTTGGAACGTACAATAGAAACCAGACGTTTTAAAGGATGAGATTTTCTTTTACCATCTGTAACATGTAAAACAAATATTATCATCAAAATAAATCATCAAAAGAGATATATTATTTAAATGACCATACCCTTTTTATGCATCAGTAGTTTTGCCAACTTTATATCATCTTCATGTTCATTCACCAAATCTATATTTAATCCATTTTTTTTAAGTAACATATGATCAACACCTTGTTTTTTCTGTAACTCTTTTTTTCTTGTCTAGAAAACAGCATATTTTTTAATAAATAATTTGTATAACATGGATATTGTAACTTATGAGATTACATTAAACAATTAGTGCATATAACATACTCTAAATGCAGAACGTAATGCACAGTTTGAAGTGTAATCATCTTTCCACGTAGCTTCATTAAGTGCTATTGCACTTTCTAAGGAAGAATCACGTGATTTTGCTATTTTTTTATCTTCTATACCATGTTCCAATTTATACATTGCATCATCATAAAGTCTGCATGACACTTCTTTAGTTTCCGGTACAATTTGTTCATTCTCTTTAGGGTCCCATCTATTTTCTTGTCGTCTTGCGCCACTAACTATCACATAGTCTAAATTCTACATAACAAAATGTGTTGATTAGACTCTATGCAAATGACAATATAGTGATATATAATAAAAATATTTTACCGCTGGATCAGTTTTTATCTCAAAGTGATTATCACAAAGGTGACATTTCATACGAAACTGATATAAAGGTGTGCTATAATACATTCCAATCTTCTTTTTCTCTGCATTGTAACGAACACCCATTCCTATATGATTACCACATCCGTCACACCATATATTATATGGCATCTCAAATCTGATAATAAGGATACCCATGTGCAATTTACGTGCTCTTTCACGTAATGCATGAGTACCAAGAAATTTATTAAGTCCTCCAACCCGTGGATCATAATCAGGTGGGTAATATAAATTTGTTCCTTTACGTTCACCCATTGTTCTCTGAAATGAAACAAATTACCGAAATTAAGTTATATGTGTCTTATTTAGTATCAATCTGTCATATTCTGAATACACAAAGTATACATAAAATAAATATTAACATTTAAACGTTATAGTGACAGTTGATTAGTATATTACTATTTCAGCAATACCTTGTTTTTTTACTGCGTGTTTATAAGAAAATTAAATCCATGTAAATACTTGATTATGAATGTATTTAAACTAACTCGTCTCTTTCCTTCTTCTGCGTAACGATTAAACAGAAAGAATGTTACGGATTGTGGCGATATTAGCGCCTCAGGATGAAAGGAGCTACTGCCATCTAATGGGAACAGGTATTAATTACAGTTAGATTTAAATCTGCGTTACAATATCTAAAAATATAGTATATATTATTACATACTGATTAAGTAGTCACATAATAATATAACATAATGATTATGTACTTAAATAATATAATGCATAAACAAAAAAAATATACTGAACCTAAAATAAATTTTATAAAATAAAATGTTACAATGTTTATACGGTGATACAGAACATACATGATTTCTTGTAATTCAACCTAAAAATTAAAAGAAAACAACAGTTTGATACGGTCATTTTACAAATAGTAACAAACATCTTTAATACTTTATGGTATAACAGAAATAAAATGATGACAGTGTTCTACTAACAGAATATGACTATAGAGAAATGATAAAACGGTAACTTTATTGTTCACGTAACTTATACGTTTAGGTACGTGTAGAACTTAACACATACTTTTCAAAAGTAAAAAAGTAAAAAGGCAAAACTAAATATTCATTCATATAAACATAAAAAAATATATGTACATGTGTTTACATATTCACACACACACATATATATATATATATATATATATATATATATATATATATATATATTTATATCATTAGTACCTTCGAGTCATCACATTAATGCATGTTTCAGCAAATAGGAACTTTTATAACTATATTCTATGTATTTTTAATAACATATACATTTCTTAAAACTATCACTTAATAAGTATCTCTTTCAGTCATCCACGTCCAACTAATAACCAAATAGAATGTCGCGAAAAAGTTACAAATAATATAAAAGATTTTGCATTTGAGTACTTGGCGGACGACGTATAAATTGGGATACCAAAAACGCTAATTTATGAGCATATTGACAAGGTGCGGGTACTCGTACGGTACCACACCAATTGTAATACATATGAGTTAATTTGTACGTTATTCTTTGCAGCTGATCTGCTCTCCATCCAGTCGTATCCGCGATTACATTATACGCGCATGGAGATACTGTGCCTTGTCTTACGCTTTGAGATATGATGTAAAAATCGTATTTCATAGGATTAGTAATTCGATCATCTATTATTGTACCTGGCGGAGGATTATTTTGATTGTAAAATACCCGAGTATTAATGCGTTTCGTAACTATTACGAATGCCATCTTTACGACAGAAATATCACCATAAATACCGGCTAGTTTCGATTTAATTTGTTCAACCTCATGTTCGTAAACATAAGGTATTTGTCCATCTCCTACACCATCACGGTAAATTACAATATGTGATGGTAAATTTTGATGTAATTGTCTGTAACAGTGTAAAGCCTTAGCCAAGTTTACGGAGAACTCATTAGACAGTTCTTCTCCTGACGTATGAGCGGTTACAGCACTAAAATATCTTGTTAAATTTTTATCTAATGATGCAACCATTGCACCATAATCACGACTTTTATCAGTTGGATCGTGACACACATCAAAACCAACAACCATTAAATTAATTGGTGGTAATTCAACGCTCCATGGAGCACCGCCTAATTTACACGCCAATTGAATTGCCACCTTTGTGGCGATTGATCTTGTATTTTTCGTTAGATTCTTTGCAAGAAAAACTTGCGATGGTACTGGTCTGTCGACTGTGCATTTTTTCTTAATAGCGCCATAACGGTCGGTTCTATTATTAGAAACAACGCAATATACTAGTTCTGGATTAGAACTACTCATTATTCGTTCTAATGTGTCGGTGTAAGTATTTGATCTATCATCGTTAATGTCCCAGAATCTGGGACTCTCGATTCGACATCCCATTGCGTTAGCCACTTCTTGCAAGATACCCACAAATTTCTGCGAAGTACAATAAACGAGTTAGTATAATTAGTAACATATTAATTAGTAACATGAATAATTATGAAAATTATAAAGAATCTCACCTCAACATCACGCCTTACGCGATTCACACAAATTACGACCCAATTGCTTAACTTGACCACGTTGAACAAATGTTTATTATGGACTTCTCTGGTCCAATCTGCGAATTGTCCAGCAGGTGCCTGCCTACCACCACCAAATACTATCTTTTCCTGTGGTAGTATACGCGATGGTATTTCAACCAATCTTTCATCAAGCTTTAGATTCCAATCATTAAGTTCTTGTACTATTGCCGGTTCTGAACGGAGTCTTCTATTGAATGTCATCAATTTGTCTATACGTGATTTAGGAGATACACGAGTATGTTCTGCTAACGCACGCATCAAATTGAAATTCTCTCTCATATTGTCAGTTAAACCTACAATGAAAGCAATATCATATAAATAACATATAAGATAACTTATATATATATATATATATATAAAATAGAACAGACCTGTTGCACGACACAATTCAGGAACTAGATATACCAACTCTGTTTGACCTGCACGACGCTCTCTTGGTTTTAATCTTGAAACCAGCATTGGTTGTGAATCATTACGAATTTTAATTTGATATTTATTTCTGTAATAATCTTTATATGATATATTTTCTCCGTTTTTTAATTGAAACGTTGAATTAGGAGTTGCATCAAAATCTATGTCAGTTATACGATATGTGTTGTTATTGTAATCCGTGAGGACAACCACGCCCATAACTTGATCTTGATATGATTTCTAAAAATTAGCATAAAAATATAATAAAAACTGTACACGTTCTTTAGAATTAATAGTTTTACCTTATAATCATGACGACTTAGTTGGTAACAATCATTCAATATGTCTAATAAAGTTTGCTGGCGCATTACTTTATGTGTTATTTCAGCACACATAAGAATATCAGATTCATGTTGTCTTATAGAAGTCAAATATCCCGGCCATAGCTCTAGCCGAAAATCACGAACTTCCACCTTTAATGTAATTATAAAATCATGTAAGCCAAATTCTTTTGAACATTGAAAAAATCAATTTTATTATAACATATATAGAACTATGTAAGATTCATGGTTTACTTACTTTGCTACGCGCATCAAAGAAATCGCGTCCAACAAGTTGAAGCTTCAAGAGGCCCAGACATTTTCTCATTATTATATTAAAGAATTGAATATAATGTTGGTCACCTCTAGTCATATCACCAACGAGACGCACAGTGATCCTGATTTTTGTGTCATCTGATTGTCTATTAGACCAGAGCTCTAGTTCCTGAAATTACAAAGTCAATAAAAATATATGCAAGAAAATTCTGAGTGAGAAATCTTACATCTTGTATACGATGGCTTGTATAAAGTACTGTTCCGTCAAAAATATACGCTCCTAAAGTTTCTTTATGCAATCTAAGTAAGCCTTTTCGTACAATTGTACGATCTTCTTCTGGAGAAAAATCAACTCTGTACTGATACAGACACCAATCAGTTGTAGCAAGTAATTTGAAATAATTTGCCTGAAGCATTACTTTAGCTCCAGTAGTTCCTATAAGTTGTAAGGAACATATACTATATATTACATAAATAACAATATTGGGAAATACTAAAATTTCGTTTAGTCGAGACAATATCTACAAACCTTTTTTGGACACTAAAGTTGATGGTTTTGTGTGTATTTCTGCTGGAAGTGGTCGTCGTCCACGCATGGCTCCTCTTCCCAATGCTCCAGCATCTCCCTGTCCGCTTGTACCACTACTTGGATCATCAACTATGAAAACAGTTGTGTATCAAGAATAGAAATCTATTACATTTAATTGAATCGAATATAAAAAAGGTATTTTTTGAAAATTATTTCAAGTATTTGCATTACTCAGCTTACCATCCATTTTTTCACTTTTTCCTGCATATCCAGGACCACTATCACCTCGTGGACCTAAACGTCCTACAGCACGTCCGGTACTCTATTACATTAAAAAAATTGTATTATTTTCTATCTTCAATTATTAATAATATTAATATATTTAAAATGATGTAGCTAAATTAGGTCTTCTAAATTTTTTTCACTTTCCTTTTTATCCCTATTTCCAATGGTGGAAGCTTATTGTGTCATGGGTAAATGGTAGGGACATAACATACCAGTCCCAGAATTTTTAAAAAAACTCCCTGAATTAATAATTGTTTCTAATAAGAACCCATAACAAGGAAGGTATTACGAGGACAATAAACAACAAAGCCACAAGTAAGGTATATTTCAGAATTTAAGAGTAGATTTTTAAAGAACCTGAGTCAACTGTGGTCTCGTATATGGTGTTTGAGAGGTTTGTGGAGGTCCAGGTTTTCGACTCCATTCGCTTGTTGATGGCTGAAATGACTGAGGTGGCTGAGATGACTGAGAAGGACCAGGTCCCTGAGAATATCCAGATCCCTGAGAATACCCAGGTCCTCGAGAATATTGCCTTTTATCATCTTGGCCACGTCCACGTCCACGACTTTTACCACGTCCTTGGTTAGACATGATTCATTAAAACTACCTAAAAATGATGAAACCACTAAATTTTCTATTAACACAAATAATACTAATTTATTAGGATAACTAATAACAAGTATATTCTATAAAAACTAAACACGAATCCGTTGCCTTTTATCTTATTTTTAATGTATTACTTTTTTACAAATATTTTGATCGTACCGCAAACTGTTTGCATTCACACACAAAAATAAAAACACCGCTGTTTTTTTCAAGGACACGTGGATATAAACCGAAACTTAAAACTATTGAATACAATTTTAACAAATATATTTTTTCACTTAGCCGTGATTATAAAAAGAATGTTCAGAAGAATTTTTCAAAAAAGCCTGAAAGCTATTAAATAGTGCTTAGAGTAGCCTATTGCATATTGTATCAAAATACTAAACAAAAAAATAAGAACATTATTCGTATTCACTTAAGCTAAATTGTAAATACATGGTAGACGCATATAAAGAAAGAAAAATATTCTAGTCTAAGATTAAATCTACGTTATTAAAAGTAAGCACTATGTGCAAAAGTGTAATATGTATCTTTATGTGTATTGTACTTCTATTAAAACATAAATTGAAAAACCGAGTTTTTTATAAAGCAATTTTTAAACAAGTAAAACTAAAATTAAAAATTTATTATAGAGTTTAAATTGTAGACAAAATCTTACAATTGATGATACAATTACGTTAATATTACTGTGTAATAAACTGGTACTTCTTCACGCTGCGTGTGGAATGAATTTTAATGGTATGAAATGACTATTAGCGCGCGTACTATGAAAATGTGTCCGACCAGTGTCGTATTAATGCCATATCAAACCCACACTTTTAATTGCCACTTTTTCTTCTTCCAAAATTAATATCAGCACATATAATGTTCTTAAGTTCTTAATAAAGAAGGACGGAAGAACAAAAATGTAAATTATATAAAAAAATAACGTGGGAATTGAAAAAGTTTATAATGCTAGCGTATACGAATAGATACGTGATTGCGAATAAGTTGTTAATGCGCATACGCAGTATGCACTCATAGAATTATGGGTAATTTATTGCAAACTTATTGGTCATATGGTTTTAAAATTATCATATTTATAAATTTTTATGAGAATGAGCACTAAACTAACAAAGTAAAACAAAAATTTGTCATTAATGATCTTGTCAACTATATATAATTAAATAAAATTTTCAGTTTTATAAATGAATTTTCACATTTATTACAAATAAAAAAGTTTGATTAATAATGTTTAATGATAAAAATATCTTTAAGTTTCGTTTCTATATCAAATAGTCTTAGCGAAAAAAAGAGAGCAAAAGATGAATGAGAAAATAAGACAAAGACAACTTGAACACGTGGGTCGAGCTAACCTATTTTAGAGTATGGTCGAAGGAAAAAACGTGTGAAAAGTTTTAATATTATTTAAAAATGGGAAAACAAAAGAGAGAGAGAAGGAAACCTCATAAGGAAAATCCTACGGGACTCCCATCTGTTAAAGACTTTCTGAAAACAGAAACTGAGAATGTTGCAAACGAAGATCGAGAAATTGCTTTACAGCGAGTATACGAAGAAGTAAGACACGTTTTAAAAATACAATATTACAAATATTGCCAATTTTTTATTAAAACAGAGAAGAACCAAATGATTACGTTATAACTATTCTAGATACAATCCGCTAACGTTGAAGAAAAATTATCGGGGTTGCAAACATTGGAATCAATGTCCTGTGATTCAGGACTTGCCACGCAAATTGCACAAGATGGAATTGCTAAAATGATAGGACCATTACTTGTTGATGGTAATGTACTTGTAAGAGCAGGGAGTGCCAGTGCTTTAAGGCACATTGCAGATAATGGAATTGTAGAAGCACATGAGAGTTTAATGAAGGATGACATCATGACCCCACTCTGTTGTTTATTAAAACAAGTAAGCTGGAAATTGTCTCCTTATATTGTTACAATATTTATTTATGTATTTTCTATTTATAGTATTATACGGACTGGCAACCAACATTAAATGAAAGTGAAAAAAGCAAAGTAAATGATGAGAAAGAAGCTTTTGTCCAAGCAATCACATTGTTATGGACATTGTGCGAAAATAATGAATGTGCAATAAAATATTCCAACGAAGAGGATCTTGTATCTATTTTAACAAAATTCTTTGACATTACCATTTATGGTATGGAAATTGTTACAGTTATTGTACAATGTTTATTATCTTTGTCAGAAGACAATTCTGCTGCTATTAAAAAACTTAAAGATCATGAAAGTACACTTATACAATTATTAAATTTGGAGTCAAACAGTGCCAATAACTCTGAAGTAACATGCCTTAAAACTGCTGTATCTGCATTGTTAATTAATATATCTAACTGCATGGATAACAGTCTTACAAGTACTAGCTCCAGTACAATAATTTGTAAAGCGATAACTGTCCTCTCTGAAACACTTTCCATTGATTGCAAACAAATTTTATGTGAGTTGACGTCCATTTTACCTCATGAAAAAAAAGCTTTCTCAATTAAACACAAGAAGAAAGTACAGGGAAGTAGAAAGCTAATTGGAGCTCAACAACAAGCATTGGAAATTTTAACTAACTTATGTTCAGAAGATCAAGAAAATGAAAATGACTCGGATTTGGAAGATTCAGACCTTGAGAGTGATGGTATAAATGATGTTTGCATGGATGATAAATTATGTAAACTAAACTTATCTCTACCTCTAGAAATAATTGAAGTTTTTAATAGTTGTGACATAATTAAAAAGGTATGGGACAAGACTATGGCTGTGGAAAAAGATACAGTAGAAATATTGGAACAGAATGTTGAGGGAAGAGCTGTATTGCATCAAATGCACACTCTAATATGTAGAGCATATCTATGTTTAAATAATTTAGTATCATATTTAGAAATTGATGCGTTTGGTGGTTTGGAAAATATATATAGGTAAAATATGGCTCAACATTCACCTACAATTACGATTTCACTTGGAAAAATAGATCAATTGAAAAATGTTTCTACGTTTTAATTTAGGATGTGGCTCAACATTGGAACTGTTGTCTTCAAAGATGCAAAGCCTAATGATACTGAGTTATTAGAATCTGCTACCGCAGCTATGAGGGCAATTCTTCAACGATTATCCGAAGTTAAACCAAATATTTTTAACCAATTAACATTAGTTGATTTGCAGCCAATGTTAAACGGAGAACGGCAATGTACTAATGCAAATATTCGCGCAAATCTCATACGTATATTAGGAAACATTGCTTTAATTTTAAGAAGTAATAATACTCCTGAAGCCAATGAATTAGTCAAAGTAAAATATATATTTCATATAAAAATTTAACCGTGAGTGATCCTATATAATAAAAAGTGTCGTTTTAGGAAGTCACAGTGTCCTTATTAAGCAGTTGCATGATGGAATCCAAAGCCTGGGTTATTGCAGAATCTCTAGATGCAGTAATGGATATATATGCAGAAGATGACAGCGATCAGTTAGCGAATGAAATCAAACTAGTGGAGAAATTACGTGAATTAGTACCAATTTTTAAAAATAAGGTAAAATACTATTAAGTTATACTTTCGAATAAATAAAATAGCAACTTATTTTTCATATTCATTTTCAAATAGGTACGAGAACAAAAAAAGACTTTGGGAGACAATGTCGCGATCGTGTCTACAGTCAATGCGAATATCGTAAGATTTATAAAATATAAAGTGAAAAGGATGAGTATTGTGTAAAAAAAACTAACAACGTTAACTGGAACTTATTTTACTCCGTGTTTTTATATGACTATTAATATTCTCTCAAGAAGTATACTATTGCTATACTACTGATATTTACATTATATTTATTTCTAATAGATATATTAACATGTTCGCTACTAACGTCATATATTTATGACGGATATAATCCCATACTGTATACAAAGAAACAGAAATAAATCTTACAGATATTATTTAAAGTTATAAGATTCTGTTTTATATTTAGGAACTCATTGATTTGTTTTAATTTAATTGTTTCAATACTTTGTTTAGAAGACTTGTTGGCTCGAATAAAATATTACAATTGTGAGGATCATGTACCGAAACAAACGCTGGTAGCGAAGCTGTTAATATATTCATTTGATTTGATGAATATCTATACAATAAATTTTGTAAATATTACAATTAAAAATAATTTGGAGTTATTTTTCTTTTATTTACTTATTTATAGGAAACTGTTGAATGTTTCTAGTTATTGGTAGAGCATAAATGTTATTAAATTTTTAAATTTTATTCCGCGAAAATAAATAATGAGAATACTAGATAAACGAGAGACGTCTACGATCACATAATATTCTATGCCCAAAGTCGATGGAATTTTTGTTTCATCATCGTATTAAGGCTTCAAGTACATAATACGCATACTTATTACGCTTATTAACTCTTTGAAGTATCTGCAAAGTGAAGTATTAGACTATCAGTGCATGCTATTGTACTGTAATATTACCTGAAAATCATGTACATTTAAAAAGAACGTCTCAAAACGAAATCTGAGTTGAGAAGATACTTCAAAGAATTAAGCTGGATCTGTAAGCTTAAATAAAGGCACATGTACACAGTGTCTAGACAGTCTTTGAAAAATATTTCGACTAAGATCAATGGAGATGTCATCTTTCCATTTAATTCTTGAAGACAAAATAATTGCACAATAGTCTACATATTTATTATCGAAGGCAACGATTCTAAAATGACTTTCCTCTGGCCTCGTCACGACCCTTTCGTCCTTCAGTCGAAATTACGGAATTTGATCGAGAATCGGTCAAACTCAACGCGCTGTGCCTCCTCGGTTTTGGTATCGGATTGATATCTTCAACGATCTCCGCCTTTTGTTTAATCGGCTCGGATATGTGAAGTTCGATTACTTTCACCGGTTCCCTTGAAGCTGCTACAGGGACTGGTGAATCGTTTAGTCTGACCAAATGAATGTCCTTCTGCTCCCTAGGGAATTCCTTAAACTCTATCTTAATTGCTTCTTTATCGGTGTCAACCATATTTTGGAAGAAGTGCCTGCGATTAGCTTGAAGCGATTGCCTTGTATCCCCGTATTGATCATCCAGGTTCTCCGTTGATTCTTTGGATGCGCTTCTCGCCTCGAGTGCCTTGATCTGTCTCTCAATCTTTTCGATCTCATCCTTCACCGAGAAGCTGTCGCTTCTGGACAATGAATCTAAAGAACTTTTTCTCCTTAAACGTACTTCCTCCAATTCCGAAGGCAATAATTCATCGACTTCTTTAATGATCTCTACATTATCCTGAGAATTTCTTCGATATTCAACTTGAACTTCTTCCTCATCCTTGTTTGTGGGCTCCTTAGAATCCGTTTCCTTAGAATCCGTTCTCTCAGGTTCCTCTTTCTCCGTAGTAGAATCATTGACTTCGGTTTGCTGTACTTCTACAGTTTCTTCCGTGCAGTTTACTTCTACCGGTGGTTTCGCTGTTTCCTCTACATCGGTTTCCACGGGTTTTAGAGTGTCTTTCTCCGTAATCTCTTCCGCGGATTGAGCGGTATCCGTAGCGGACTCCGTAAGCCTTTCTTTCTTGTCATCAACTTCGTTGCCCACTTCATTGTCTATATCTTTACTCTTCTTCGTCATTTCATCGATGTTCTCGGCAACTCTCGCTATGTCACTCGGTTCCACTATCTGAAGTTCAATGTTAGGTGCTTCGGTAATCTTCTGCAGAAAGGCAAACAATAGTCACGATCGGTCAATTAACTGTTACTCTAAAAAAATACAATTTATTTCGCCGACAAAGCAAATTACCTCGTTGGTCTCCACTTTCTCTACGCGTCGTGGCGGCTGCGGTGCTCTCCGTTTTTTCCGACCGTACGAGCTCATCGTACTACCAACAGAAATGCAGCTGTTTATCGAGAGATTAGATTTTCTGACCGCGTCCTGGCTACATCTTTTGAATACGTAGTCATCAGGAACGTTCTCGTTCTCGTCGCAGAACGCCGCGTCACCCATACGACTCGCCTCCTCTTCCGAGTCCAGGGTACCCGCGTTCGCACGTTGCGACGATCTGTTACCGAATCGTCGCCTAAAAAGAATTAAATCCCACTTCTAAATGGACTGTATCAATTGCAAGAGTCCTACCATTGTTCGCTTAACGCTAGAACTACCAGGTGGGCCAAAATGACCAATTTCTAATCCCTTCTTTTACAATTACTGCAAAGCTGCAGGTACTTCTTTAAGAAATGACTAAGGAAGCCGATTCGGTAATACCTAAACCGAAATATAAACTAACTAAAATCTTAATGAATCCACGCTTCTAGCTCTCACGAAGAAATGTTCAAAAGACGGTTTAAATCCTCGGTAGTTCTAGTGTTAAAATCCTGACTACTTACAAAGGGGGAACTGGCGTTCTTTCCTGCACCTTCTCGCGAAGAGTTACACTACCGTTCTCTTTAGGGGATTTGTCCTCGTAGTCCAACGCCGGGATCTTGTCTGTTGGCTTGGGACTCACCTGGCCAAATCTGAAGAACAGTTCAACAATTAACTCATTCGTTCGTGAACAGTTCAATAATCAACTCATTTATCTCGCTAAGCAGAAAGCAACCGAGTTTTCAGATTTAAATTCGCACACCTTCTCACTGGTGGCTTGGGTGTGAGGTCACCCATAATAGATGTGGTGGTGTCTTGCGGGCTGCCATTGTACATCCTAGCAGGATCGCCGTTTACAGTTAAACTGGAGCCGTATCTTGACGAGTTTTCCAAGGTATACTTTCTTCTTCTCGCTAAAGTGCCGAGAGCTTCGTGGAACTCCAGCTGATCCTTGGTAGGTCTCGGAGGAGCCGCGGGTTTCGTGTAAGGCTCCCTCTTATAGGTAGATGAAACTGTTACCCAAGGAAAGAAAAGGAAATCGATTAGACTCTTTAACTTGGCTTTGATTCGTCGATCAACTTTCTTGAACGTACTCACCTGTAGTGATCGTGGATCTCTTCTCCTGCGCCTCCGCCTTCTCATCCTTCCGTTTCCCGAACAATCCGCTCCTGTAAGCGAACGACTCATTTTATTCGAGACAAAGAGGAATAAATTAGCAGGTTCACCGTGGGTTAGACGATAATTGCGCCGCTCGACTTGCGTCCAAACGTGTTAAGGGATCTGTGTCACATCTGTACGCTGACAAGATGATGGGTCTCTGTGCGTTGACTGCTCTTAACCCACATAGCTCTCGTCCCGCAATTAATATTACCTAGTAACACGACAACGCTCGCCTCGTCGAATTACAATGCAAACTTCTACGTTCTCCGCTTAAAGCAACGTCTTCTCGAAACCTAATCACGATGAATCCATCGGCAAACGGTGCTATCTGGAGGCAACAGTATGACCACTTCTCATTCATGATTCCTCGTTTATTTACACAGCAAACATCTTCCAGCCGAATTCTCGAAGAAAGCATGCCGCAGCTAAGAGATTTATGATCGTACTAAACATTCTGCTTCAACAACGCTGCCACCAATCGTATAAATCCACTCCCAATCGGAATTAAAAGACCAACGTCTGTTCATTCGAGTTACAGTCTACCTACCGCAACAGCCAGGGAGGTGCCTAATAAAAATATACTCTAATCGAGCGTGTAAACGTTCGCACGGAGCGAAAGAGGTCTCTCGAGACCGATCATCCAATCCAATTCGCATCGCGTCCGTCTGTTACGCGTCGAACGGCAGAAAAACAGACGGTCGCGGCCGGGCAAAAAGTCGCGAAGACGACGTTTATCAGCGTCTCAAGTACAGGTATCGAATAAGAAACGGAGCAGACGCGGCTCGCCGTGCGCGTGTATCTAGATCCACCGACGTCAGGAATACCATTTTCTTATTTTATCCGCGCGCGCGGTGTCGCAACAGAGCAGAAGTAGATTTATGACGACGACCGCTGAGAAGCGTTGCTTCTTACGCTCGAGAACGTCACCGTCGTTCGGTGATTTCAACACAGCGACGCGCAGCCGTCTCGTCTATGCAAACCGAATCCGTCGGACGGTTTCTATCATCCAGGAAAACAAACGGCGGACGGTTCAACAAATTATCCGAGACGCATCGTTCCATCCCGGGAACAAAGGAACGTTACGGTTCGCCTCCGAAGATAAACCTCGAGGACAGTGTCACGGATTGATTTATGGACTTTGTGACGTATCCTACGCGTTCGGAGATTAACCAAATATCGACACGTAATGTTAAACAGCCGCCAATCCCCGGGTATCGCTGATCCCGTAAGCGTTTCAAGGTCCTCGTCTCCCGTAATTGCGAAACGTCCTCTGTATAAAGATGAAACGAATCGAATCGAATCGAATCCGTTGCTTCTATTCGAAACGTCGAATCGTTGCTCCCAGACCGGGTGGGTCGATCGGCCGAGCAAAAAGGAGTCGGGGCAACGAAGCTAGGTCGATATCTTGGCGCCGACGACGTCGATAGGGCGTATAAAAATGAAAGCAAGATAATACAGGTAACGTGACGCCAATCCCGATTAAGAGGAAGAACGAATCGTGGTGGATCGATGCGACGGCTGCGCTGCCTCGGAATTCTTCGAGCGTGGTTACAGCGGCTAGGTATTTAGGGTAACGTCTGAAAGTTTACAAGTATTTGAGTTTCTCTGCGGAGAATCAGAACGAAGAAAAGACCGATCGCGGGATTCGGATATGCAAAGCAGGCCGGAAAGGAATGGAAATGAAACTTCCTTTTCAATGATTTCGATCGGCGGCTGAGAACAGTTGTGACGTCAGTGTCGGTTGTTGGAACTGTTCTGGAGAACCGAAATGAAGTAAATGTTATTAGGTATATAGGTTTCAGTTCCGGTTCTTTAGAAACTTAGATATACTAGGATAGAAGTTATTAGGTATATTGATTCTATATCGGTTTTATAATTATTATTTCTCGGTTCTGAAAGAAATGCGGAACCGAAATACAAAATCGAAATTTGGACCCGGAAGATAAGTGTTATAGAACCGATATAGCTCGGAATCGATACAATCATGGTAATTATTACTTTATATATAAATCGTTTATTCTGAAAGTGACTTAAGTCTATTTTTTAAAAAGATTAAATTAATGGTTATAAGAATTTTAATTCTATATTATCTTTTTATATTTTAACAGTTTTTCTTTCTTTTTCAAATGGACTTAAGCCGCTTTTAAAATAAACAGCTCATATAACAGTATCAACCGGTTATTTTCGGAACCTTTTCAATCTCTGATTTCAACGGATCGGAGAAGTAATTCCGTAACAAGCGCAGGAAAGCTGCCGGCTAATTTCCGAGCGAATAATTACGCAGGAGCGAACCGCGCGAGCCGCGGGCGTTTCTTCAAATAGATATCGCTAAGACCTTTTCCGATGGAACTCGACCTGACGTCGATTGTCCGCTACGCGGGCATTCGTTATTTATGTCGTTTGGATGACGGCCAGACGCAGGTACCGGCCGCGGACGATTCACGTGAGCGTTTCGCTCCTATGCCGCGCCGGTAAGTTCAAGTTCAACAAACTTGCATCCTTCCCAATTTACTTTCTAGCTTAATCCCTCGGGTCTGTCAGGCGTAGACATTGCTTCGACGCTTCTTCGTTCAACCAGTTGCCGGACTGCGAATTGTTATACATAGCAAGAGTTTGAACGTTTGAAATTCAAATTTAGAACATTTGAAAGTGCTAACGTTCATAGAACGCACGCGACATGAAAATATAAAATATTTAAAGTGTACTGATGTTTATAATGTTAGGGAACACTATTGTCTATCGTAGTCCTATACGTTTCTAATTATATTCTTCAGAACTTCTGTGAAAATCCGCAGTCTACTAATTATAGATCCATTTTCCGTTTAGACTATTCCCATTATTCTGGGATCCGTTTCTACATTCGAGATAAAGTTAACACGTTGGTTGCCACGATAATTTCAAACGTTTGGTAATACTTATTCCTCCATAACAAAAGCAATAATTATTAATGATTTGACTTCACTGTACTCATATTGCATTATTATCTAGCTGTTTATGTTACTAAATATTCCCATTCGACATCGATTTTCTCATTATAATTGTTTTCAAGTAATTTCGAAGCTCCGTCCATGTGTTAACAGAAATAAAAAACGACCATTTCGAAGGTCGAGAGATAATCTTCGTGTAAGTGAGCCAGAGGCTCGGGACGAATTGATTACCATGTCGATTTAATGGAGAAACTATTGGATCTCTTCTTCCTGCTCCTGCCGAACGTCCAGAATTTATGTTTCGATTCCTTCGTCTTCTCGTCCCGGTACATGGGCGGCTGCATATTGGTGACCTCGTCGTTGAACGGGTTCAAGTGTTCCGGATAATCGTAAATGGAAACGCTGGGACGCCTAGATCGCGACATGATTCACCCTCGTTTCCTCTGAAAATGCTCGGCCAGTTTATTGCAGGAACCGCCTGAAATCGTCGCGACGCCTCGTCAACAAAGTTCACCGATCCCTCGTCATGATCCTCTCGGCGGCCGCCTCGAGCTGGAAATAGAGGAACAATCCCGGTTATTCTTGTTATTCAAAAGCGAGCATTAGGAAGCGGAAAGAACAAGGAACATTCGGTATCCTTCGAACGCCGGTCGAAAAGAAAATAGACGTTGGACTTTTATTTTATCCGGCGGAATCGGGTTTCCCCGTTTCATTCGCGCTTTCCTGATTTCCTCGATCTCGCGGCCGATTTTACGGCGTTCAGCACAACGAGACGAATTATAATTATAAACGCGTACAGTATGAGTAATTTAATGTAGCAACCGAGTCGAAAGCATCGAGCATCAAGCATAAAGTCCAGATTTATTTTTAACGTCTTACGTGGACGTAACTCCGTGGAAACGGACGCGCAGGAAGTTAAACGCGGTTTACGCGCGGCGTTATGATGAGCGATCGATTAAACCGTCATCATCCTTTCCAGCGGTCTTCTCCTTATCATTGAAATCTCTCGACGTTATTTCAGGGGATCTCGCAGACGCCGCGGCGCGAGAATAACCATTTGAAGCTTCGATATCCAACATCGAAAACTGCCAATGAATAATTTAATAAAACCACCGAGTAGTTGAATTAAGTTCTTGAAATTTCTCTAAAACAAATCCGAGAGTGCATCTGTCGAGACGCGTTCATTGATTTACAATTCACTTTGCATAGTTCCAAATCAATTCCTTTAATCGTTTCTCAGAGAAGCATTTCTTGTCTTCTTGATAATTGCAAAAAGGAGACATCAGGAATGGGTCACTTTGAGACTGGTAGCTTTACTGTTAATTATCCGACTAACGAAGGACTGACGCGTGGTTTTTCTTCTTTTATTCTCGTGCTCCGTGTAATTCTGTTTTTCGAAGCGTTAGAAGTTTAATGCATTCTCGTTGGAGAAGAGCCAACAGAAAATCGTCGATCGTTAAGGGTTAACATACGAATTAAAGACAGTTAACGATTCAGAAAAACTTGATTCGTCTATGTACGGTCTATCGATGGTATTTACTTATCATCGATTCGTATCATTGGAATGAACATCGATCAACGAACAGATGGATCGCAGGGAAGCGATTCGGAGCGGTACAGCGGTATAATTGTTGAACGCACGCTGCACAGCCGGCAGCCTCGTTACTCCAATTGCCGGATCAAACCGAACGACCCACGGTCCGTCCAATTGCCCGTCATTGCGTATCAATGCGATTGCGAAACGCGGATCAAGTCCGGGGTTAATCCGTTAACACTAAAGCTACCGAACAGTCGAATCGCCTTTTGCCAATTTCTCTATAGAAACGCTGAAAATGTATCTACCAAGAGTTCGACTGACTTTTAACCAGTTAACTGTGTTTGACGAGTATACACGTCATCGTAAAGCTTGACATGATACTAATTCTTTCAACGATGAATTCTTTATTTTTTCACATAAACATGTAATTCTTCTTTGTTTCGCTTTGATCTTTCATTAAAATATACTCTACGTGCATTCGTCCTGCGTTCGATGAGTACACGCTACATTTTTTTTATTTTATTGCGCGCAGAACGAGAGGTTTTTCCAACTAAATTCCACAGTTAACTGGTTAAATCAGTTTGCGCATCCAAACAATGTCTTCAGTCATTTCTCAGAGGCGGAAGGGGACTGAGCATATTAAAAAAGATAGAAATAGAAAGAAATAGGAAGACAAACGAAGAACACTAAGACTGTGACGGAATCAAAGAGCAGACAAGGGCTAGTGACAATGGGAGATATGGTGAACGTTTTTGACGATAACGTCAAAGCAATAAATAAGTGCAACGGAAGAAAAAGTAAAGTAGTGAAGCGTTAATATGAAACACTTAGTAGCTGATAGGCATGTAGATATATGCTTAAAAAACAATTTGTAAATATATAGGTGGAAATTATTGGAAATTAAGAAGTAGAAATTAGATATTAAATTCAATTAGATATAGGAATAACGTAGAATAAGAAAGTGTGAACCGGAAGTCATCTCGAGCAGCAAGGCAGGAATTATGTAGAATAATAATGATAGTAATTTCTTAGAGTATAATTTGTTATTGATATCTGAAAAAGAAGAAATCAGGAACGGACCATTTCGATCCTTTTGGTAGTTCTAGTGTTAACGCTAAAACTACCGGGTCAAATTAATCCACTTCAGAATTCCTATTTTGCAAGTGTTTAAATTACGAAGGCGTTTATTGCGAAAGATTTTCAATTAAATTCATGTATTCGCACGGATACACGACTAAGGAACCCTTCGAATGACAAGAAACGTGTTGTTTCGTTTTTTATAGAAAATTAGAGACAAGTCACTCTAATTGATCGGTAGTCTTAGCGTTAAACTCGGAAATGATGATGATGTCTGCTCACCCGCCGACCCGGGCGATCAATCAATCGGTCCGCGCGGATCTTCGCGTAAAAGAAAATTCCCTTGGCACAATTCGCGAGGACTGTGATCGAACAAACTTCCTCCGTTCTTTCACCTTGAGTTTAATCGCACTTCATATTTTTTATCGCGTCGAGATCTGCCGTCTGGAGATCGAAAGAGATCGGGAGTCGACGCGCAGTGGGGCATTTGACCCGAAAACCTGGCCGAAACCATTATTGCGTTATTTGGAGCTAAAAAGTGGTCTTGTAGCTCGTTGATGGATCAATCTAGAGGTAAGCTACAATACTATAAAGTTAAAAATTGAATGTCCTTGAAGAATGTCAAGGTCACGTTAATGATTTCTATTAAGAAGATTATTTTTCAGAATTTTATATATTGCAATTCATCGATGATTGAATACCATTTATCTTTCGTTTAATAATTGTTTCGCCATGTCATCGGAAATCATAGAAAAATCATGGCGCACGCACAGACAACAATAAGATTACCGACTTCTCATATTAACCAAGTTTCAACAACTTCATTTTCTTAAATATGACTTTAAGAATGCAGAAGTATGTTTTTAAAGTGATATATTTTTGAATATGTAGAACGAACTGAATTTTTCAACCTGTTACGCTAGAATACCGCCTTAAATTATGCTGAACGGTAAAAAATATGTAGTTTGGACAACTCTAGGCAACTAATTTTTGAATAGTTACATAAATCAGTGTCTAAATATTAATATATATAAGATCCAGAGGTGAGTTTCGCGGAGAAAAAAAGTTTTCGATCGTTATATTCGATTTTACAGGACGAAGAACGTTAGATTCACATCCTTGGTTTGCAAAGACCATAAAAGGAAAAAAATGATTATAAATTACTTCACCTACATGTATTTCTTACGAGCTTTTTCATCGGTGCGTTTACAAAAATTCATTGCTCGGTATGAGTGAAATTTTGTGCCAAATATTGCCGTTTTCGAAAAAACAATGTCACAGTTTACTCGTATAACTATTCAAGTATACAGGGACGAAGCGTTATCCAATGAAAATAAAATCTGACCTTTTGGCCAGCGTTTCAGGGCAAATACCCCCCGTGCGACGGTCTCGTCATTCGACGGTGATCCGGTGATACTAATTAACCATGTTCCTCGAGATTTCTCGGGTTACGCGAAACGCTGCGTCGCGTTGCCACCGTTAACCCAGTTAACGAGTCGTCTAATCCTAGATTACGAAAATAGAGAACACGGCACGTATCGTTTACGTAATAGACTGCTCGATGATGCATCTTGATTACGGGTACACGCGTAATTCGCTTCTCCTCGCCTGAGCCGAACACTTTCCTTCCGCCGTTCGTCGAACACCGTGCCATCGATCTTCCTCGAGCGACGTTTGCGCTCACGTCACGCGTTCGGATAAGAGAAACGCTAACTTTAAACCTCGGAGGTCATGCAAGGCGACGCTAAGGTTGTACAGGTTGTAAATTTCAAATCCTCTTCCCGACGGTTTTTCTAAGTATACTTGAGAACATGCTTCTCAAGCGTTGATCTCTCAACCGGAGGAAAAGCGCGATACAACCGCAAAATTGAATTGACCGCCGGAAATTGAGGGCACACGACTAAACCAAGGACACCATGCAGTTGTCCGACGGCACACAATATGGCCACGCGTGCGAAATACAATCCTGAGCAAACTGTAAGCTCCGGCGATGTTGAACATCTACTCTCGTCGCTCTGAAGCTTCTAGCAAAGATGATTAATACACGTGCCGTTATGTTTGCAAGCGGACTAAGACGTATATTTTCAGTTTCGAGATATTTAAAGATTGGCGTTCGAATAGATTGAAAAGTATTTATACACTATGTAACAAAATATTTCGTAAAATGTTCACTTCATTCACTTTCAAACGTTCAATTCATTTTTAATGGTTGAAATGACCATTTTCAAAGCGAAGAATGGAATCGAACGAAGTTTATTCATTCGTCTGCCTTCTGTTTACTCTAATTTTCATTATTACTTCTCTTAGAAATAGAAACATAGAACGATTGCAATATTCCGAATTCGTTTACGTGAAAATAGAGAGGCATCGTTCAGTTTCTGAAACGAGAGCAGCCCGATCGCGCTTGGCACTTTTACCGGGCTTTTGCGAAGACCCCTGACATTAAAACGGTAAAAGGCACGTATGAACTATATAAACAAGTGAATTTCTCTTCCGGTATCTTTGAATTTCATCCGTTTTCCTGCTTGTGAAGGAAGGCTTTCTAAAAGTCGTCGATTCGGAAAATACCCTCGGCATTGTGTACAGGCGCACCGTCGGTTTCTTTCTTATAAATAAAACAGTCGCGGGCCGTGATACATCGACTTGTTTCCCTCTTTGAAGAAGGCATCGCGCGCTCGAAAGAAGAAATCCCCGGGAGCATAATTAACCGTGCTACATGTTCGCCAACCGGGAACAGGCATGTTACGCGAATTACTGTCCTCCAGGCGCAGCGGCGACGTTCGCCCACGGAGACGGCCACTGGCGAGGGCTCCAGGGGAGGACAGAAGGTGCGTGTCACGCGGTTACGAGGAACGCGACTAACGAACGCAATTAGTTCAATTAGCTCATTGCACTCGCAGTTCGCTTCTGATCCAGAGTTTCTCGATGGACGCGCGTC